CATTATATATATATATATATATATATATATATATATTATTTAGTTATTTTTATACCTTCTATTTTTATTAGCTAAATTCTATTTTTGATTGCATATTGATATGGAAACAAAAATCCATAGAAATCCACCTTAATTAATTTGGTAACTTTTTCAAAACTCATTACGTATTTGATAAGTATTAAATTCTGTAATTAGAACCACAACAATTAATACCCAAATTTTAAGCACGGACTCATAGAGTAACAATTATTTAATTATTTTTATACTTGTTTAATTTTTATTACATTCTATTAAAGAGATGAAGTATTCATTTTTTGCCCACTAAACAGATAAATCAGCCAAATTGCTATTATTTTTGTCTTCAAAGTAATTTGATAAAAATAAAAAATGTAATAATAGTGTCATATTTCTTAAAATGTAATATTTTATTTTTCTAAACTCAATGTTAATATAATGATTAAAATTATTTTTTCGAAAGAGAATGATTAAAATTCTAAGCCCCGAATTTGCAATTGTGTTAATACCTCGCATTTCGCTCCATCATCATACTATTCTTTCTTAATTATTAAAATAATGATAAAAATTGTAACCACCATATAATTGAAATTTAAAAATGAAATTAAAACTATTAGATATTCTAATATAGAATCTAAAAAGAATGAGTTAAATGTAACATCTTATTATTACAAGTTAAAAGTATGTACTCAGTATTTCACATCAAGTTGAATGAAGAATAGTAGAAGAAAAAAACTTGAGGTGCATAATAAAGTAATTTCAAGGACGTGAGATTATGAATTCTTTAAAATCGGATTCATAACAATTATATTTACTTGAGATTCTTATGTAGAAGATCCATTTAACTGTTTTTCAAATAATCTTTTTTGGCTTCACAAATAGAATATATTTTAAACATTTTTTTCATGATTCAATAGATTCTACCCATTCAGCCCATTCAGCCAGAATTTAATCAATTTCAGTAAAATAAGTTAATTGGATTTAATTTATTATTATCAAACAGGCTCTATATTAGACTAAATTTATTTTTCTTTTAAATAACATTACATATATCTGAAAGAAATCAAATTTCAAATTAGCTAAATTATATACTGCCCGTGCATCGCACGGGCTTGAAAGCTAGTAATATTTATATAGTGGTGGATATCCTAGTTAGGCCATACAAAGGCACAAAGTTGACCAGCCCGTCTAACAAGACCCAATTACCGGCATTGGCAATTTATCTGATTACAGCCTGTAATGGATTCCGGGGACTTTTTCCATGGTAATGATTCCATGGTAACTTCTTCTTCTCTCATTGAACTTCATATGACATAATGAACTTCATATGACCTTTATGTCATATGAAGTGCCCCTAGAATTGCTCTAAATGTTTAGAAGTGTAGAATGAGGGGTTGGAAGGTAGTTCTAAGTCTAAGAACAGACTTAGAAGGCAAAGTGACCGGTTTGCTTAAAAACCTTTTAGAGGTTATTTGTATTGATATGGGTTATGTGATGATGAAACCTTGATAGGAACTTGTCTAAGGTCTTCATAAGCTTGTACGGAGTTGAAAGAGTCACCGGGGTAATCGCCAAAGTTCAACAAAGTTCGCCGGAGTTTCACCGGAGATCAACCGAAAATGGTAGAACGTTTTAAAGCTCATTCAAGGTGAGTGGACGGATTAATGTCTTGTAACTCTTGGGTTAAGTATGAGATTACCTAAGTAAATGTTATATGTATTCATAATTATGTTTAGAAGAGTTTAAGCATGTGTTTAGCCAAGATGATTAAGCTTATATGAAATGAACCACAAAGATATGCATGAAAATGATTAGAAAATGTTATAAAAACATATGTGATGTTTTGAATGGCCAAAAAGAAAAATATTGATTGCTTAAGACTTAATACATGTTGTGATTAAGTTTTGGATCAATCAGAGTCGGTTCGGGCGATCAACGGGCCGTTAACCGTGAAGAAGGCGGAGAACCAGCGCCGATTATGGCTTGAACCAGCGCCGGTCTGAGTTCGACATTTGAAAATTCATAAAATTAAATTGAAAAGGCGCATATAGGGCTTGAACCGGCGCCGGTTTGGCCCAATTTTGCCCAATGTGATGTTTTTTACATGCTTGATGATTATGCTTATGCCTTAAGATTTGGTTTAGTCTTGATTTTTTACTATGACATAGGCCATAACTGGGTAAGGTGCATGCTAGATCATAGGTTAGGGTGGAATACCCAAGGGTCGGGCGGTGTCCTCAAAACTCATAGGTTCGGGTGGAGTACTCAAGGGCCGGACAATGTCCTAAAAACTCGGAATATAATCAGGTGGAGTACCTAAGGACTGGACAATGTCCTCAAAACTCATGTATTCGGGTGGAGTACCCAATGGCCGGGCGTTGCCCTCATAACTCGGGATATAATTGGGTGGAGTACCCAAGGACCGGGCGGTGTACTCAAAACTCATAGATTACAGTTTAGGAATTCAGGACCGGACGATGTCCTTATGATATTGATTGGACCAGGAGGAGTCTTATACACTCATATGTATTTGAGTGGGTTGAGATTTTAAGTCATGGACATTAACTACTATTATTTCTCAAATAAACAATGACCTATGGGTCGGTTATTTTCCAAGTGTATATACTGATATGTATTTCAAGACTTGGGGAAAGACTATAAGTATATGTATCATTCTATGTTTGAGTCTTATACTTGAAACGTTAGTTATTGTACATTCAGCCTACTGCTTGCTCGGTATTCGCGTACTGACCCCTTCGGGGGGGGGGGGGGGATTTCAGGTTGAACTGTTGAAGCTAGATTTTGTTACCTGCACCTTTGCACGGGTGAAGAGAATCTCAAGGAAGATGTGATCCGTGCTTCCTTTACTGCTTTGAAAACTATAAACTATGCTCATGGATAGTTTTGTAATGAATACATTGTTTTGGACCTGCGAGTCCACATCTTGCCATATGTGGCTCATGATTGACTATTGAATATTTTCGCTATTCATTCAATCTATATTATGATGTTGTTATGTATGTTTACTTACTTGGTATGGTATGAGATGTTCACGAACGCCTTGTATAATTAAGTAAGGTTGACTCGCGAGTGATATCACTCGATCATACGGCGGTTGTACACACGCCTAGATGCAGTATGGAGTGTGACAATTAACCTAGTGTAAATCCAAATGAGGAAAGAGATAGACAATAACGAGGCCTCTATAAAACAATTGCTTTCTTATGAAAAATCATTTTAAAATGCCTAATTTTACCATTGAAAATGACTGTTACATGTCATTGTTTATGCATTCCATGCTCAACTCTCATTTTTATAAAACAATTCCTTATATATGACCAAAATAAAGCAGTGGACAAACATGTGATTTAGCAACTTATAGTAACTTTAAGTATGTTTAGTTCTACATGATAGTGACCATAAAAGAATACCCATATATAGTTACTTGTGTGTGTGTGTGTACTCTAGGGGAGTGTTGGGGAAGAGATGGTAAGAGTTGAGAGGACTCACAACAAAAGCAGTGTGACTGAAATCAGGTATTAGTTTGAACAGATTGAGTCAAGGTTTGAGTATGGGAGTCTATCATAATAATCAAATCATTTACGTTATATTGAGTGAAATATGGTTAAAACCTTGTCAGTCAAATAGATATTCTTATTAATCCCCTTTTACTTGGCAGATTTTAAGAAAATGTATACATTTCATTTATTGCACATGAATTCCTTGTTTTAGTGCATAACAAAATTTAAAAAGTGATTTTTTTTGCATTATGACACATATTGACCATATCTTCACAAATAATTTAGATTTACACAAACTCTTTTTACTATTCAAGTATGTAATTTTCTTTTTCTTAACTATAGGCGATTCAAACATTGCAATACACCGTCAATTAATATGATACAAAGCAATCCTTGGTGTAAAGCCTCAGGACACTATATGATCATCAATGGAAGAAAAACTCAATTGTAGGAGTATTCTTGTTAAACCATTGCCAATTTTCCTCATTTCTTTATTATCTATAGTTCAATCGATTAATAGAGTGTGTAAATAAGAGTAAATTAAATCTAAATTTTATTACTCACAACAAAGAACTTTACTCAACAAGGAATCCGTGAGTGTATCAACGGCAAGTCTCACAATCGATACGTCAAATTGCGATTACTCCTAATTATAGCTTTCTGGATAACTGTTCGACCGATCAAGGCCTCGTGGGCCCGCATACATGTATTACATTCACACTCATTTCATCCATAACACGTACATATATGTATTACATTCACACTCATTTCATCCATAACGCATACATGTATTACATTCACACTCCTTTCATCTATAAATCAAATTATGATTACTCTTATCTTAAGTATAACTCTTTGAATAACTGTTCGACCGATCATGGGACCCGCACACACGGGATTTCATTCACACTCCTTTCATCTATAAATCAAATTATGATTACTCTTATCGTAAGTATAACTCTTTGAATAACTGTTCGACCGATCATGGGACCCGCACACACGGGATTACATTCACTCTCCTTTCATCTATAAATCAACTTATGATTACTCTTATCTCAAATATAACTCTTTGAATAACTGCTCGATCGATCGTGGGACCCGCACACACGAGATTACATTCACACGGACTCCTTTCATCCATCATCTAGAAAAGGACTAATCTTCATCCATACCATACCATAGCCGTTTGATCCACAAATAATGAAATAACCCAAGATTTCCCAAATATTATACTACTAGGGACCGGCCCCTCAGTAATAAAACCCTTGAATTGAATGAGACGCGGTTTCGAGGAGGCAAAGGGGGCTGACTTTGCTTCTGCTCTCTCTCTCTCTCTTTCTCTCTGTATTGAAACCCATCACCCTCGTGCTGTAGTAACTGCGCTTGCTGTCACCTTTTGACTATTTCGTTGCACACTCTTTCATTTACTTCACCCCACTCTTTCTCCAATCAAGTCAGCGTCCAACACATTTCTCTATATATCCCCTTTCCCCTCATAGGTAAAAACCAAACCAAATCAACAACCCCCAAACAAACTCCACCTTTTGAAACCATCGTCATTTCAAGCAAGTACCTTTTCATCGAATCTCCGGCCGGCCATCCAGCTGTTTCGCAACAGACAAGAACCCAAGAACAGAAAGATCCTGTTTTTCTTGCTAGGAACTGATATGGGTAGGCCTCCATGCTGTGATAAACAGGGGGTCAAGAAAGGGCCTTGGACTCCTGAGGAAGATATCATGCTTGTCTCTTATGTTCAGGAACATGGCCCTGGGAACTGGAGAAGTGTTCCTTCCAATACTGGTATGTTCTGTTTCTGCATATGCTAGTTGCCAAAGAATCCCAAGATTTCTTCAATCTTCATGAAATGGAATCATAGTAATGATTTTGTTGTATATGTATGTGATTATTTCAGGTTTGAGAAGGTGCAGCAAGAGTTGCAGGCTTAGATGGACAAACTATCTCAGGCCAGGTATCAAGAGGGGCAACTTCACCCTTCAAGAAGAGAAGATGATCATTCAGCTTCAGGCTCTCCTTGGCAACAAGTAAGCAATCATAAGTCATAATCTTACAAATCAACAAATTTATTTCTTGTCGGTGCAGATCTGGAAATGAATTCAAAAAAAGTGATGATATGTTTTATAAAAAATATAGTACAGAGTATGTAACTTTTTATACCTTTTTATCACTATAATTTACTTTAGTTTTACCCCATTTTTATGCATGTTAGAGGAAATCTTACAAATGAACAGATTAATGAACTCAATAAATGAATGCTGGGTAATAAATATTGATGGGGATTTGTCTAATTTTTGTGCAGATGGGCTGCCATAGCATCTTATCTTCCAGAGAGAACAGATAATGACATAAAGAACTACTGGAATACACATCTGAAGAAAAAGCTGAGAATGGTGGAAAGTGGAGGAGAAGATTATTGCGGTCTCTCTTCCTCTGAGCTTAACAACAGATTCTCCTCATCATCTTCAATCTCTGGGTCTTCCTCAAAGGGGCAGTGGGAGAGGACGCTCCAAGCGGATATAAACACAGCCAAACAAGCCCTTAATGATGCTTTGTTAACTCTTGAGGATGTCCATCACAGAACTCTGCTCCCTGTGGATTTCGCTTCCCACGCGCCGCCGCCGCCGCTGCAGTGCAATAATAACAATGTCAACGCCGCCGCCTTGTACGCCTCCAGCGCGGAGAACATCGCAAGATTGCTCAAGGGGTGGATGGGTGCTCCGGCGAAGTCCTGCTCGACGTCGACGGGGACTTTCCAGGTCTCCTCGAATAGCAACGCCGCCGGTATGACCGCCGTCACCGACACCTCTTCCTCCTCCGATGATGCTACCCGACAGGACGAGATTTGTTTGGACGAAGCGTTCGATTCCCTGTTCGGGTTCGACACTTCCATGACGTCCGACCAGCTGTCCCAGTCAGCCTCGCCGGAAGATGGCGCCGGCGGTATGTTTCACGGCGAGAGCAAGCCGCAAATCCCGTTGTCGGCGATGCTGGAGAGCTGGCTGCTCGACGACATTCATGGGGTTGACTATGGAAGTGCTGATTTGTTTTAGAATAATCATTTCGCTAAATGTTATTAGTATCATTTTTTTGTAAGAACTAAACTGCTCGTTTTTTTTGGAGAGAAAACATTTATCTGATCGTATGTTTCTACCGGATTCGCCGGACAATTGTCCGGCCGTTGACCTTCTAGAAAAATTCAACGAAAAGTCATCATATCGATCCCTTGCTGGAATTAAGGCGAGTTTGTTTCGTTGTTTCCTGCAATTTTAACCAGAATGCCTCGGCATTAGGAGTTCTATAAATGAGTTTCTAGCGAAGCATAATATACTGAGCGTTGACTTTGTGATTTAACTTTTTTTTGTTATAAAAGGATGATTGTTTCGTATTCTTTGCAGGAATGAAAATGTTGAAAATCGAAATTATTTGTCTTTTTTCACAGAAACACTCCTAATCAGACTAGAAATTATTTTTTGTCACAATAACATGGATGTTAAATATCGAAATTAACAAAACCAATCATTATAGGTTTGATTTTTTCATCAATTTTGAGTGACGATTTAAAATATTTATGGTAAACATAATGTCAAAACTAAAATACTAAATGAATTAGATCCAATCATTTTTATCGTGATGATGTTAATACCCCATCTAAGTGCTGGTTAAAGATAAATAGGAATAGTTTTAAATTTCTCATACAGTATGCCGATTAATAAAATGTTTTTTTTCAAAGAGTAACTTAAATTTAAAAATTGAACATAAATTAGTATGATCCTTATTACCTAGTACTACATTCCTCAATGTTTACATCATAATAATTATACTATAGTAATTTTGAATGCATTTATAGTCAATAAAAGTTACAATGTCATATTTTTATCCATTAATTATATGTAAGAAATACTAGTGAATTTTTATCTATAAAATATATAGCAAAGTTGTTATTGTTAAGACCTGCAGTTTCATTTTAAGAGATCAATAAAAGGTGTAGTTCAAGATATAACATCTTGTTACTTCATACTAAGTATTTTACTTGTATGAAACTTCAAATCCCCTCCTCACACGAACATTTTAAATTAAAGTTTAATTTCATACAAAACTGGCCTAACCCATCATTATTGTATTTTGTAAAAGGAAAACACTTATTTATAATGTAAGAACTAATTCTACAATGGAATGAATACAATTGTCTTGGTTAAAAATTGAAACGGCATTTTGAGAAACCAAAATTTTATGCCACCAAAAATAGGCCATCTTTTTGCATTTTACGTATTACTAAAACTTGTCCCCTATTTTTGTGTTCATTGCTTATTATCGACTGGAACAGTTCCTTTAACTTTACATTTATCTCTAGTCTAGTTTAGACTAGACTAGAAGATAATATATAATATGGTGGGTATGAAATTATTTATATTTTATTATGATTTAATCATTTTAGTATGATCCAATTTGATGTATGTTATGTTACGTTGTTATGCTTTTGTCTGTTCTTCTCTGGTACAACTAATATAAATATAATTTCATGACATTTGATTTAATTTAAAATCATATACTATCGTATATATAATCTAATTTGGTTGTTGTTTTGAGGCTGAAAAACGGATATTTCAATTAGTTGATAGAAGAATCAATAAAAAGCCTTCATAAGTTCCTTTATATTCAATGTCTGGTCCCTTACGATGTACTCCGTATAAAAAAATGTTCAATATTTGGTCCCATTTTATTCCCATTCAATAAAAGAAAATAATGGTACACATGTTGGGAAATTGACTTCTTCACTTGCTCTTGGGCGTCCAGTTCTGTCCGGCGGATACGCTGCTCTCCGGCCAGTTGCTTGTCCCTCTATCTGCGGCAAATGGCAGCAGCATGAAGATTCCTGGGAGACATCATCTATGCTTCTTGCTGGGCAGCACCTTGCCTTTGCTCCATTCACACTTGCTGGAGTATTATCACAGGTCCATAGCTTCTGTATAGCCATCACAAAGAAAGACCTGCAAAACAGAACAACAAGAAACACCGTGGCTCGAGTCGCGTAAACGCTGTCCTCTGAAAGTATTTCCGGTGAACGGAAATCTTCCCCCAGGATTAAACGAGCCCTTCGACTAATAGTCGGAACCAGAACTACGAGGGAAATCATCAAATTAATAATCCAGCATAAGCTTTGGAAAGAACCCATTTTCTGTGTGTAAAGTATTTGAAGAGAAAAGCTTGTAAGAGCAGTTTTGTTCGTGAGTCGTGAGTTGTCCTTGAGTAAAGAGCTTCTCGTTTATTAATAGAAAAGGGGTTGGAAAAATAATTTGTTATAGATCCTAAATTATAGGAGATAAAATTGTCCAGCCATGTAAAAATCTGCACGTTAGAAGATAGTTGAGAAAACCCACTCGGTCAAAACAACAACCAAGTGCACGGTTAATAATTAAATTAGACACTAATTAAATCAAAAGCTTTTATTTGAAATATATTAAATATTTCCAACAATCCCCCACATATTTCAAATAAAAAATTTGTGAAAACCATTTACAAAATTTGCTGGATTAAAGGAATGAGACTTTAAGTTTGGTGTCCGTAGACTATGAACCAAACCGAGACGATTAAGTCTTTATAAACCGAGCTTTTGGTGAAACGTATAGTTTCTATGAACCAAGAAGCTACTATGGTAAATCAGGGTCTTAATGGCCATGTCTCACTCTGCACACTTCCTCGCGTTAACGCCGTGGTGCGCATTTCGGCCGTGCGCGTGCCTGGTGTTCGTGAGTGCTCTAGAAGCGTTGTCAAGACTTCATGGAGGCGGCCCCACCTCACACTCATATAGGTGATCTCATCAAGTGTGTTCTGCACTTAACACACCACCCGCAAGGGCTATGAAAATCATTAAGAGTTTTAGCTCAGCCTCACAGCGAATGCAGTCTAGCCTTCCACACTATATAAAGAGACTTGTAATAAGGCTAGCAGAACAAATAGAAGACTTGTTATTACCCATATGAACTTGCTTCATGGGATCTCCAATCACACAAGTTGGGTTACCATCCCTATTTGTAATCAAGTGACACAAGTCCCATTTCCCTCGAGGTTTCACTTATCATTTTTCGTCCTAGGGCTTTAGTCAAAGGATCCGCTAGATTTCCTTCTGACCTCACATAATTAATGGAAATAATTCCATTCTTCAATAATCGTTTAATGACTTTATGTCTTAATCGAATGTGTCTATTCTTCCCATTATAACACATTTTCTTAGCAGTATTTATTGCACTTTGGCAATCACAAAGAATAGACACCGAAGGTGTTGGTTTTGTACCAACCGGAATTTCTGCTAAGAAATTTTTCAACCACTCCGCCTCACTACTAGTCACTTCCAAAGCTATAAGCTCGGACTCCATAGTGGATCTAGAAATGAGAGATTGTTTAGTTGATTTCCACATAATAGCACCACCTCCAAGGGTGAATATATATCCAGTATTGGATTTAATCTCATCTGAGTCAGAGACCCAGTTGGCATCGCTATATCCCTCTAGTACAGCGGGTAAACCTCTATAAAATATACCATAATTCATGGTACCTCTCAAATATCTCAGTAACCGCCTCAACGCGGCCCAATGATCCCCATTTGGATTATGTGTATATCGGCTCAATCTTCCGACAGCATAAGCTATGTCGGGTCTCGTATAGTTCATTAAGTGTAATAAACTCCCAATTATTTGTGCATATTCATATTGAGCCTCAGGATCACCTCTATGCTTTTTCAAATGTGTACTAGAGTCATAAGGGATTTCCACTGGTTTGACATCGAAATGTCCAAACTTCTTTAGAAGTTTTTCAGCATAGTGCTCTTGAGATAGTATAATACCATCATCCTTCCTTATGACTTTAATACCCAAAATCAGTTTTGCTTCACCCAAATCTTTCATATCAAATTTTGAAGCAAGAAATGATTTTGTCTCATTTATTAACTCAATGTTGCTGCTAAATATTAGCATGTCATCCACATACAAGCAAATAATAATGCACACACCATTTTTTATTTTAGTGTATACACATTTATCTACTTCAAGTGAGGTAAAATCATGAGCTAATAATACTTCATCAAATTTTTCATTCCATTGTTTAGGAGCTTGTTTCAAACCATATAAAGATTTGACCAACTTACACACTTTGTGTTCCTGTCCAGAAACTACATGACCCTCCGGTTGCATCATATAAATTTCTTCCTCTAATTCACCATTTAAAAATGCTGTTTTAACATCCATTTGATGGATAAGAAGTTTGTGAATAGAAGCCAAGGCAATTAAAGTTCTAATGGAAGATATTCTCGTTACCGGTGCAAAAGTATCAAAATAATCAACATCTTGTTTTTGAGAAAAACCTTTTGCCACAAGCCTCGCTTTATATTTGTCAATAGAACCATCCGGATTAAATTTCTTTTTAAAAATCCATTTACATCCGATTGGTTTGCACCCTTTAGGCAATTCAGTTAAAATCCAAGTTTTATTTTTCTGAATAGATTCAATTTCATTTTGAATTGCCTCAAGCCAAAAAGGAGCCTCTTTTGATGAAATAGCTTGTGAATAAGTAAAAGGTTCATCATTAACAAGATATGTATAAAAATCATTTCCAAAAGATTTTTCTATCCTTGGCCTCTTACTTCTTCTCAAATTAAAGGGTTCATCATTAAAAGTATTATTTTCTTTTAATGGCTCACTTTCACGATGTGGCACAACGGTCTTGTATTCTGGCTTTAAAGGAAACACACTCTCAAAAAATTCAGCATTTTTTGTTTCAATAATAGTATTGCAATTAAGCACATCACTTTTCAAAACAAGAAATCTATAAGCAGCACTACATTCAGCATAACCAATAAATATGCAATCAGATGTCTTAGAACCAATTTTCCTCTTCTTAGGATCAGGCAATAAGACTTTAGCCAAACACCCCCACACTTTCAAATATTTCAAATTAGGCGCATGACCTTTCCACAATTCATAGGGTGTTCTCTTATTATGCTTATAAGGAATTCTGTTTTGTAAGTGACAAGCAGAAAGAATAGCCTCCCCCCACAGATTATCAGGAGCACCAGAACTAATTAAAAGAGCATTCATCATCTCCTTTAATGTCCTATTTTTTCTTTCAGCTATTCCATTGGATTCAGGCGAATACGGGGGAGTTATCTCATGGATAATCCCTTCCCTCTCACAAAAATCATTTATTAAAATATATTCGCCCCCTCTATCCGATCTCACTCTCTTAATCTTCTTATTCAATTGATTTTCCACCTCGGATTTATACACTAAAAATTTATCAAAAGCCTCATCTTTACTTTTAAGCAAATAAACTTTAGTGTATCTCGAAAAATCATCAATAAAGGTGACATAAAATTTATTACCACCTCTAGTCATGGTATTTT